CAGTATATATACTTGAATCATACAGCCTAAGAGAATGATTAATATTGGTGAGCGGACGAAAGGAAAATTGAATATTTATGTGGCAACTTTGGAAAAGGCGGGGGGGGGGGGGGCGGAACATTTACGGACAAATATAGATTTTTGTTATGGAAAGGCGAAGCAAAATCCTTGGACCGCCCCAAAATGCACTAACCTAATATACGCCACTGCTCTGGCCTTGTCATTTAAACAAGTATACGTCTTAGTTTCAATTCAATTTGATTGAATTAAACCTAACACAGCTTACTGATTATTTGTCTTCTTTAATGAGGTACACTTAGTACAATTTTGAGATTCCTTGTTTTAAACGTCATTTCATCAGCGATTTTGACATCACATCCTGTATCATTAATTGTGCTTCACCCCTTTCACCGACCCGGTCCTCGCGCGTATCCCACTACAATAACATCAGCACGATGTGTGAGATCAAATCCTGTTGTGACGTTTGGTGTTGATTACTTTGTTAGTTTTAAGCGCATACAACAGCTGTGGAAAAAATGCATGTTTTTTTTGTTGTGTTTTTTTTTTTTTTTTTTTTTGTTTTTTTTTTTTTTTTTTTTTTTTTGGCGAATCTCTTACATTGTAGATAAAGGTTCGAGACTGTGTTGAAATCTTTCGGCACTGTATTTTTGTCATATCACTATAGAATGATCAATTTGAGAAAAACTCATTTTTATGTTACATTAAAGTCAAGTAAGTTTTGTATAAAAAGTTGAAGATTAATATGAACATAATTTGTCCCTTATTGAACATGCAGACCTTAAAACACAATTAAGTTTGCAAAGATTTGGCTTGAACTCGATGCAATCAGATAAATAAATAACAATATTCTAGCTTTTTAGCGCCTCTTTAGAAATGATATTGTTCCTAGTTATGTCAGTTTGAGCTCATTAAGAGGCATGCCATATTTGATTTATGAAAACTCTTCGATGATGTTCTGTATGAGGGTAAATTCTTTAGCATTGCTGCCTAGCTGCAGTGTGGAATACAGATTGAAGCGGTGTACACTCAAGGGTCTACCTTTGTTGGGCGCTAGCATTCTGTCATTGAGCGTTTACATCATCATTTGACTGTGGTCATAGTCACAGTGTGGAATCATTGAAATAATACTGCCTTATTGCAAGTGTGGCTTTGTAAAATTGTAGAATAAGCGTTGTACAATTGAGACTGTAGCATTTTAGCATAAACTCTCTCTCTCTCTCTCTCTGTGTCACAAACACACACACAAACACACACTCTCACACACACACACACACATATATATTTCATATTTATTAC